TGGTATTCCAGTTCAACTGGTTGAAATGCGTCCATTATAAAAACTAAAGAGTATGGAATTACTCCTATTAATTTTCGTATGGACGTCCTGTAACCCCATAGTGCGAAGTGTAGTTTATTCGGCCAGTCATTATAATTTTCTGCCATTTTCTTAATGATAACTGTTATGTTTTTATTTGTCGGTTCTACAGCTCCATTCATCTGAGGTCTATATGGAGATGAGTGATGATGTTTTACTTTATAACGAGTTAAGAGGGTCTCGACTTCAGCTTTGAATTGAGATCCCTAATCACTAATTAGTTCATGAGGAACACCATATCTACAAAATATGTTACGTTCGAGAATCTTTGTGACATGTTTAGAAGTGATATTCACGTAGGAAGCCGCCTCAATCCACTTGGTAGAGTAATAGATGGCTAATAATATGTACTCGTGTCGTCCTACTCATGTTGGAGAAATTTTAACGATTATGTCAGTTCCCTAAGTTTAAAAACTCAAAGGGGAATAGAAAACATTTGGCACTCTGGACATTCTTTACCGTATTGTATGCAATCATGTTCCATAGTGGACCAATAGTACCCTTGTCGTGAAATTATTTTTGCAAGTATTTTACCATTCATGTGAGGTCCACAAACACCTTTGTGAGTATTCTCCATAAGGTGTGTGGTTTTAGGTTGGTCTATACACAATAAACTTAGACCATTAGGTCCTTCATTTGCATAATTGACAATTTAATAGACCGTATTAGGCCACAAGTGTTCTCAAGGCTCGTTTGTCTTTCGATGAAGTATTTTCAGGATATGTGCCATGGGTAATATATTGTACGATATGATCATACCAAGGATTGTCTTCTTCAATGTCATTTATTTCCTCTATTGTGTTGCAATATGTTGGTTCTTCTCTTCTATCAACGCATAATGGCATCATATTTAAGTGATCTGGAATGTTGATCGTCGAGGCTAATTTTGCTAGCGCATCGGCAAATTGATTATCATCCCTTGGGGGATATTTAAAATTAATATGTTCAAAATGCTTGATGAGTTGCTCTAGGTGTGCTTGGTATAATATCATTTTTGAGTTCTTTATTTTCCATTTTTTCAGTTATGATTTATAATCAAACTTGAATCTCCATATACCTCTAATTTTTGCTCACCTATGCTAGCTGCCACTACAAATATTTGGCCTTTTAGCAACAGGTGAAATCCGTTGCTAATTGCTAAAAATTTGTCGCTGGACATAGCTAGCTACGGATTTATCAACGGAATCACTCCGTTGGTAAAAACCTTGTCGCTAAATGAATTTAGAGACGGAAAAAAAAAATCCGTCGCTGGACTTAGCAACGGAAAAAAAAAAATCCGTCGCTGGATTTAGCAACGGGAAAAATAAATCCGTCGTTGGATTTAGCAACGGAAAAATAAATATGTCGCTAGCTTTAGCAACGGATTATTCAGCAACGGAAAAAAAAAAATCCGTTGCTAGATTCAGCAACGGAAAAAATATTTTGAATCGAAAAAAAAGCTGCTATTTGGGTCGACCTCACTCGGGTCAACCCGACTCGGCTTTCCATGTAACGCTCCTTGAATCTCCAATCGCAATATTACTGTTAGTAGGAGTCAAACCCGTGACCTCAATGTCAAATATTGATACTCTTACCAACTATACCAAATATTATCTGTTTACTTTTACGCACATAATTGCTAATAAATGAAAGAAATATTAGAGACGGAATTTAAAATCCATCTCTAGTTTAGAAACGAAATTTAAAATCCGTCTCTAATTTAGAAACGGATTTTCAAATCCGTCTCTAATTTAGAAACGGATTTGAAAATCCGTCTCTGAATTAGAGACGGATTTGAAAATCCGTTTCTAGTTTAGAGATGAATTTAACTTATATAATTCGTCTCTAATGTAATATTTTAAATAATTAGTTTAAAAAATTATCTAGAGACGGAATAAAAAATCTGTTGCTCAAATTAGCAACGGAAAAAAAAATTCCGTCTCTAACTTAGCAACGGAAAAAAAAAATCCGTTGCTAACTTAGCAACGGAAAAAAAATCCGTCTCTAAATTTAGCAACGGAAAAAAATCCGTTGCTAGATTCATCAACGGAAAAAAAATCCGTTGCTAATTTAGCAACGGGAAAAAAATTCGTTTCTAATTTAGAGACGGATTTTCAATTCCGTTGCAAAGTTAGCGATGGAATTTCTAATTCCGTTTCTAAATTAGAAACGAATTTTTAAATTCCGTCTCTAAATTAATTTAGAGACGGATTTTTTTATTCCGTCTCTAATTTAGAAACAGATAAAATTCCGTCGCTAGAATTCCGTTTCTATATGGACATTTTTTTGTAGTGGATGCTGCTTCTAATCCAATAATGCACGCTTCACATTCCGCGACATTATTAGTAACCTCAAAGTTTGATAGAGATTGGAGTATGTACTCCCTCTAGACTTATGAGTAACACACCCACGCCACATCCATTTTGATTAGATGCACTGTCGAATTACATTACCCATTTGTCATCTTGTGTCATGAGAATCTCTTCATCCAGAAGATGAGTAGTTTATGCATGACTTGTTTCAATTGGATGTTGTGCCAGAAAGTCGGAAATTACTTTCCCTTTTATTGATTTTTTAGGAATATATTTTAGCTCAAATTCGGCAAACATACCAACCGCTTGGATATTCTTCCTTGTATAGGTGGCTGTTCACACAAATACTTTATCGGATTTTGTTGAGAAATCACATGAGTACTGTGTGGTAGCATATAATGTCGCAGTTTTTAGTTGCCCACATTAATGCTAATCTTGATATTTCGAAGGTGTTTTATTTTGTTTCATATTGAATTAATTTTTTGCTTATGTAATATATTACACGCTCGACTTTTTCTACCTCTTGTGCTAACATGGCGCATGTGGCCGTGTCTTTAACTATGATGTATAGCTTAAGAGGTAGTTGGATACTGGTGGTGCAAAAATTAGAGGAATTTTGAGATAATATTTGATTTTCTCAAAGGCCTTTTGGCATTAATTGCCCTATTCATGTTTTAAATCTTTTTAAATTTTTTTAAACATTGGCTCACAAGTCATAGTCAATTTGTTGATAAACCGACTAATGTATTGTAGTTTACCAAGGAAGCCCCTAATTTCTTTTTCTAATTGAAGGGGAGGCATATCAACTATTGCCTTTATTTTAGAGGGATCGATCTCAATACCACGTGTGATTACTACGTATCCGAGCAACTTGCCGGAAGTTACTCCGATGGCGTATTTTTGTGGATTCAATTGCATTTTGTATTCTTTTATGCGAGTAAAAAATTTGCGTGAAGCTTTTATATGTCCCATTCTATCTTTGGACTTTACGATCATATAATCCACATATACTTCTATTTCTTTATGCATCATACCATGCAAGAGAATTGTAGTCATTCTTTGGTACGTAGCTCCTGCATTTTTTAAACCAAATGGCATGACTATGTAGCAATAGGTACCCCAAGGGGTGATAAAGCATGTCTTTTCTTCATCTTCTTTTGCCATTAAAATTTTGTTATACCCGCGTATCTATCCATAAAGGATAAAATCGCATGTTTAGCCGTGTTATCTACCAATATATCAATATGTGGTAGATGAAAATCGTCATTGGGGCTAGCCTTATTAAGGTCCCTATAGTCGATACACATGCAAACTCGTCATCCGTTTTAGGGAATGGGACGATATTCGCTACCCATTCCAGATAAATACATATGCGAATGAAACATGTGTCTAATTGCTTTTGTACTTCTTCATTTATTTTTAGAGCAACATCAGGTTTCATTTGTCGAAGTTTTTGTTTTACTGATTTAGAGGTAAGGTTTAAGGGAATGGTATGGTTCGCAATTTCCCTATCTATTCTAGACATATATTTGTATGACTAAACGAACACGTCTTCAAATTCTTTGAGCGTCGATATGAGGGTCGATCACTCATCCAGATTTTAAGATAAGCAAATTTTGACTTCTCTTCTGTTTTCATTCGTTCCTATATTGACTATTTCAGTTTCTTCAATTATAGGGTTCTTTGTTCTCGTTCACTCAGTAGTTCAATCAATTTATTAATATTATCATCTTCATTAGATTGATTGTTATAGCATTCAAAAGACTCAAGAGAAGGCATATACTTGGAAATAGAGCTCATATAATTAAATATAAAAGAGAGTACATTAAGAGAAGAATCCATTTTGGGATCTTCGACCTTAGAACTACAAAATAAAGATTCGATAATGGCCACAAGGCCTAAATTTTCAGCTTCCCTAGAGTCTATACTAGATTCGTTGTCGGATTCTTCAAACATCTTTCCTTCGCTTGTGACAATTTCACTACTACAAAAAAGGCCTTAGAGAACTGTTATAATAGGCTTTATAGATCGCCTTAGGGGCGTTCTTCTACTAAGCGATGTATAAAGTATAGAGAACAGGTTGTTTAGGCATTTTATATAATCACATTTAGAGAACGGTTGTTAGTCACAACCGTTCTCTTTTCCCTTCTTAAATTCGTACCCTAAGGAAGGAATAAAGAACGGTTTAGGCCACTTAACCGTTCTATATTGCATTACAATAGAGAACGGTTAAGTTAGATAACAGTTCTCTAATGTTTTTTTTTTTAAAAAAAAAACATCCATCCATATGTATTTCGAATTACCCCTGTACGTATTTTATATTGTATATTCCTGTATTTTAATAATCTGTATTATTTTTGTATTTCATTTTAGACCTGTATTTGTTGTATTCCTGTTTTTTATCTTGTACATTTATCCTATAAGAAAATTTTCACATTTCCTATGTAAAAATAAATCCATGATCCTGTATACGTGCAATATAAATTTCTGTATAATAAAATTAACAAAATTATTTCCAGATACGACGAAAGCCATCAAAATATACTTCATATATATAGAATTTAAAACATCCAACCACAATTAAGTTGAATCATCCATACAAAATTTGTTCTATACAAATAAATACCTGAGTTTAATATCAAAACACCTTTCTAGTTAATATTGATTTAAAAAAATAATGCTTAGATATACCAATACCATATTGATCTAAAATTGACATATGGATGACAACTTAGACAACAAATCTCTCTTTGGCTCGGAATTTGCTAACAATCTTTAAGGCCAACTCCATTGGTATCAAATGATCCAGTACAAAATCATTAAGCAAACTAGCTATAGAATCCAACAGGAACATTCACATTTTTTTCTAAACAACCTGAACAGCAAGATTATACGAAAGGGAAACAAAAATTTTCATACCGGCATTTTTGTAATTTGGCCAAGCATATGATGATACATACGGAGTACTTTATAAATGGGTGTTATTCTGCAACGTCACCATGTCTTTCTTTGGATGACTTAGCAAAAGTGCCTGTTAATTGTCAGGAAATCAGATTATTGGGTTTAATTTTACCTATTATTTACTCAAACTGCTGCAACAAACCCCAAACTGTCTCCACTTCCCTTTCATACTCTTAGCTGGGAATGCAGGTAAGGTGTTTGTCAAAATTACCCAAACATTCTTACTCATTTTACTATTACTTAGCTTTTGATGATTCATCTTTGGTGTCACTAAGTACTCACAAAATTCATGTTTTGTTCCAATTCTTTCTCTTTTAAAGACATAATCTTAATTTGGTATGCAAACAAAATTCCAATCACCTGTTATTTTTCATGATCAACGGATAACAAAGGGTGGGATGTGTTGTCACTAGTGGCAATATGGGATTATCAATTAAGGTTCTTTACCTAATTCTCTTCACCATGCGCCTCCTGCAGGCGAGATTGTCATAAGTCAACAACCTTATGTTACTGTCCTAAAAGACTTGTCCGGTTCCTCTAGATGTAAACTCTGTTTTTCTTCTGTCAAATTCAAGAAGTGCTCTGCTTGTCACTTTGTGTCGTATTGTGGGAGTACTTGCCAGATACACTTATACCACAAACACCATGACTACTCTTATACATCAATAGAATTAGATTAAATCATCACTGAATTTCAATCACAGCATCTCATAACCAACCCTTTTATGAAAGAAAAGCAAAGCAAATCAACTTTTCTAAAATAATTTGCAAATTAAAGTATTTGAAATTATTAGAACATAATAATCTAGTGGTAATCAATTTCCCCTACCCCTCTTTCTTTATCTAATTAGGGTTCTATATTTGACCTAGGTAAGAATAATTTGGCGAAAATAATATTGATTAATATTGAAATTTCTTGTAATTCGAATAAATGAAGTGTAGTTTGATTGAAAAAACTGCAATTTTATTGAATTATTTGCGTTTTTAAGAATTGATTGAATTATTTCCCAAAAACTAAAATTGTGAATTTTTTTAATCCACCAAAAATTCGATCGAAATTACTGTAATGGATGAAAAATATGAATTCACTACAGCTGAATTGAAAAATTCGATTGATTAATACAATTAGATTGACAAACTCATCCGAATCAAGAAATATTTGAACGAATTACCTGGAAAGTGTAGTGGTGGTGTAGCGGAGCGGTGAAGTAGACGTTCAGTAGTTTGGCCGGTGGGACGACGGAATGACGGTGGGGCGGTGGGGCGGTGGGGCGGTAGGGCGATGAAGCAGTTATTGGTGAATTGAGCAACAGGATGTTTCACTTTTCATCGGTTTTTTTGAAGCTGTAAGCAGTTGATAGTTTGATACTCTAGTGAATAGTGATAGTGCAATATAAAAGCATTTCAATTATGTTAAGCAGCCTTTAAATAATTAGGGTAATTCTAAATATCCCAAATTCCCAATGGTCCACATAAATATCCCTCCAATTTTTTTATTATTTTTTATTTTTTTTATTTTTTAAATATAGAATTAAAAAGAAATACAAAATGGTTGTCAAGATGACCATTTGTATCATCTAAAATAAATAATTATTTTTTTTTAATTATTTGAGTAAAAAAAATAGAGAACGGTTAACTATTCTAACCGTTCTATATTTAATAACTTATAAAACGCCTCTAGCACAAATGCGTTCTATATTCTTCTGATGAACGCCTATCTTTGATAACCGTTTTATATTTTGTGATCTGTAATCTTGTTTTTGTGGTAGTGTTTCCAGCTTATCGCCTTTGTGATTGGTCCATTTCAAAGACTTCTTCCATCCATGCTCAAAGGTTTCTTTAGAAGGGGTAATCAATGAGGTTGGGTCGACATCTTCATATTAAATAGGATTTTGATTAGTCATTGTAGCGATATGATTTTGCTCTAGTCCAAATAACAAGTTGAATGCTTGCCCATCATAGCACCCTGGAGTTGGGTTTTTGATTAAACAATTTTAAGATCGTCATTGAAGAAGTAGCAATCGTGAAATATCACAAATCCAGGATTCTTGATTCTTTCAAGAACTAGTGGTTTCGGAAAGTCATAGCAAGGGTAATTTTCTCCCTCTCAAATGAATTTTCCATTGAGGGTTTGTTGGTAAGATTGGAGCAAAGTGATTATCCCTTTTTTTTTATTGTTGTCTCTACGTGCTTTGCTTTTAGCATCATGAGACTCTAGTTCTTCTTTGGTTGGTTTGAATCCCAATCCAAAGGAGAGACTTTTCTTTGGGATAGGGAGTAAAAGAGATTTCCCCATTCCTATTTCCAAAGGCATCCCAGGAAAGTAACTATTCTTAAACAAGATGTTGTTTACTATCCGAGTGGAGTATGGATAAAGCTTGAATGATTCTTCAAGGCTCTCTTCCATTTCAATTGTGTAGATTGGCTCGATGACAAATCCCCACATGTCCTCTTCATCCTTATTATGGTTTATTTCCAAAAGTGATTTGTCATTTATAGCTATTTTTTGAGTGGAGAAGCAGATATAGTCATAGGAATCCCTTGATAGTTCAACCTAATCATTTAATGAAGTAAGGATGGTATTGCACCAAGCTCATGTATCCAAGGACGTCCAAGTAAAAGGTTGAATAAAGGTTTAATGTCCATAACGTGGAATTCAACCATCTTTTGAATTGGGCCTGTGGTGACTGGTAGCTTAACAGTTCCACACACCGATCTTCTCGAGTTGTCGTAGGCCCTAAGGCTTTGTGTTGTTGAATGAAAATCTTTTTCTTGATTAAGGCCAAGATATTTTGCTTTTCGTAATGGGCACACATTTACAGCCGACCCATTGTCTACTAAAGTAAGAGGGATATTGTATCCCTTGCACCCCACAGTTAAGTATAATGCATTATTTTTGGTAGTGTCTTTTGAAGGCAAATCATCATTAGTGAAAATGATTTATTTGTTGGATTTCTCGTTAGTAAGCAAGCTAATGATATCTTGAGGGTTTGTGTCTGTGCTTACAGACAAAGCCATTAAAAGCGTTCATAAGAGAGTACATATGTTCTTTAGAAGTACTTAGGAGTTCCTAAATGCTAACATTTTCCTTGGATTGGCAAAGTTTTTTAACCAATGGATCTTCCACCTCTAGTGGAGGTGGTATTGGATTTTGTACTTGACCTTGAGTTTGATTTTGTGTGGTCAAGGATCTATTTTGTGGTGCTTGGTATACTCGCCCAGAACGAGTTAGATGGTCTATCTCATTTGGGTTAGTTTTAGGGCATGAACCAAATTTGTTCTAGAGGCTTTGAAGGTGCCTCCATTTCAAGATGTTCCATGAGTTGTGCTTGATGACATTGTTCATCCAAAGAGATATTTTATAAGTCTTGTGACTTCCCCAATAAATGACCCCAATCAAGCGCTCCAATTGTCTCATTTTGTAAACAAGATGAAGATGGGACGGCGGCATACTTAGAGACATAAAAGTCTTCAAAAGTCGTCGTCCCATTGTCGACATACTTCATTAGTTGCCCCTATGAGTATTGTGGGTGGAGGTTCTCCTATAGGTGTGATATAGTCCAAAGGATTGAACATATCACTTCCCACATGGTCCTCATCAATATAAAACACCCCTAATGGGGATGCATTATTGTTAGGTTTTGGCGTTGGAATTCTCCCATCGTCTACTAAATCTTGTATTTTGTGTTTTAAGACGTAGCAACATTCAGTATCGTGCCCAAAGCCTCTATGATAAGAACTATAAGCATTACCATCCCAATTAGCAAATCTTTTTTCTGGTGGAGTGGGTGTTGCTGGCCGTATTGGTGCAAGTAAGCTTTTTTCGCTCAATTTTTCTAATAATTCTTTATAGTTTACAAGAAATGGTGTAAATTTTCTTTCTTTTGTCCATATTTTACGTGGATCATTACTGTTATTATATTGCATGGAAGTCGCAAATACATCAATAGAGGATAAAGTATTATCATTCCCCTTTTTGTAGTTATTTCTAGGTTGATGATGATAAGGTTTGTTTGCTTTTTCTTTAGCAAGATCATCTTCAATCCTAGTAGCCACAGAATGGACCTTTTGAAAAGTGTCTAAACCAAGGTAACGTAGATGCTTTTTGTACTTTTCATGGCAATTGTCAATGAACTTTTGTACCGAATCGAGTTCAGGTGGCCTTTGGGCAAGGTAAGCCGCCTTTTCTCGCAATCTACCATAGAAAGCAAGGAAACTTTCATCGCCGCCTTTCTTAAGCATTTGAAGTTGACGTAGAGTCCATTTTTACAATACGTTACTCTCATATTGGGTAATGAAAGCCGAAACTACATCTTCCCATATCGCTTTGAATTTCGGATCTAACCCATAGTACCACTCTCTCGCGGTTGGGTCTAGAGATAAAGGGAAAGTCAAAACATAAGCTTAGGATCAACTCCCTTTAATGCCATGGTTCCAGTAAAACGCATTAAGTGGTTTTATGGATTATTGGTCTCCTTAAATTTGGCAAGTCCATACCTACGAACTTTTCCGGTAAAGCAAGTCCTGGGGGAGGAGCAAACTTTTCTATGTTGAAGTACTTGTTCCCCATGGTAGAACGAAGAACAAGCTTCTCCAATGACTTTTCTTTGACGGATAATTGTTCCATCTTTTTTTGCAAGGCTAGAGCCTTGGCATTTTTCTTTTCATCTTTTTCATGTTTCTTAATTGTTGTTTCCTCGGCCTCTTGAGCCTTTTCTTCTCTCAAGCGAGCAATCTCTTCTTGGAGTTGCTCGATGGTTGACATTGTTGTTGGACTAGGGCTAGTTGTCGAGGAAAGGTGGTTTAAAAAAGGGTGGATTGCTCGATGGTAAACATAGAATACGATCGCCCGGGAGTCTTCGTTCCCAAGCTTGAAAACCGGACCTAAAGGAAGTACGAAAGGATAAGTAAATCGAAATGCTTGTTTAGAAGAAAGAAAAAAAAAAAAAAAAGTAAGATATATTCGAACAGATAACATCACCCTTAAACAATTCTCCAATGAAGATATTATTTGAACAACTCAATTTGTTTTTTGAGAAATCAAATCGACTTGTAACAGTGGGCGCGTGCAAAGTGATTAGGCTGTGCGCGGCTAGCGCGCGCATCAGAATCACTTGCACCACCTGCTCATTTTTTTTTGTCATCGTTTTCTTTATTTTTTTTGTTACCCTTCGAATACGACTCAAAATTACAAAGGGACAACTTCGTAATCAGGAACCGAGACCAAACTAAAAAGAAAAAAAACGTCTATCTTAACACGTTGCACATAGTCATATAATCACACAAAGCATGTCATAAGCCAAGATTCACGCAATTACATTCTAAGATAAAAAAGCTTGGGTGTCCAAAGGTACCATATCTTAAGAAACGACGAACAAATCAATAACTCAACGTGTTGACTCAAGACATCGCTCTCCCAACATTTTGTTGGCGATATGGGTGGGATGATTGTTATTGATTTTGGGATAGAAGCCTAGTGTTGGCAACCCCTAATTAATGAGCTAAACCCCAAAGGTTGAAGTGTGCTATTATTATGCATGATGCAATGTTGCTTGTTTGGTTTTTACATTTATGCAAAAGGAAGATATTATGCGTTCAAGTCTCGCTCTCTAAGTAGAGATTATCCAGGTTAAATATCGTTACAACCCATAGGAAACCTAGTGTTGGAAACCTTGGACCATAACTAAGAACTAATCATCTAACCTCTAAGTCTCCAGTGGAGTCGCCACTGTAAGGAAGGAGATCATATCATAAGGGGGTCCTTCCTTGGATTCCTATGACCATTTAAAAGCCTAGGACTTTACACTTGTTAAGGTGTAGTAGGATTTGAATTCTTGACTGTTTGGGTGACCTTGAATTAGAATTGATTCTATCATCACGCTTTTTTATAAGAAACAAGTAGGAGTCGCCAATGAGTTTTTGGAAAACTCATAAACCTCGTTCATGCCTTTCTTCCATGTGGAGTTCATGGAATAATTAGCATGAATCGTAAGTTTACCCATGCCCAAATCGGTCTACATAAACAACAAACGAGTTCGGGAGTGAGGGTACTAAAATAACGTTCCTTTTAGGGAGGAATCGTTATTCTAGCCCCATTACGGCCTCTACCAGCTCTTCCTTTTTCACAATTTCTTCACCAAACAATATATGCAACGCGATACCTAAAACTAAGTAAGTTGATTTTATTCACACACATTAATTCATGAACGAATTACATTGCAAATATGACAAGAAATAAACAATATTCGCCTTGGCTTAAATGATCTATCAATAGTTAATTATTGAATTCTAATCTAATTTAATGCAAGGTACTATGTAGAATTGATTAACTAAACCTTTTAAAGTGATCGAGCAACACTAATTAATTAATTAAAGTCCTTTAAACAAGAAAATAAAATATGATTTATCTAAGTGCTCGGGAATTTACCACTTCTCTTTGCTAGATCTCCGTTAGAATACTTATGGACTCCTTCTTGTTTGGGAACCTCGACCGTATTAACAAAATATCAAAAGGGGTGAGTGTTTAGGACAAGAGGGGTTAGGTACCACTAGTTCACAAGTTTTTCGCCAGAGTTTATGGTTAATTTCTGTTT